CCCCTCACTGATTACACTTTAAATGATAATCTACCTTAACCAAAATCAAAGTAGACTATCACTCACCCACACCAGATGGAAAACTCTACAGACTATATATATATATATATATATATATATATATATATACCGCCGACCGCGCCCCGTTAACACCCACCTCTCTCTCTCTCTCTGTCTGCTGCTCGGCCCACCAAAGTGCGAATGTATCTGGCCCATTTTCTGCATCAGATACATTCACAGCTTTTTTTTTGGACATGCTAATCTTCTCTGTCTTTCCAATCCTCTCTCTCTCTCTCTCTCTCTCTCTCTCTCTCTCTCTCTCTCTCTCTCTCTCTCTCTCTCTCTCTCTCTCTCGTTGCGGAGTGGACTGTTATTTCTGCCAATTCTGAACTGTGCAGCTGTCACAGGCAGTTCTCTTTTTTTTTTCTTTCTGGACGTCATAATATTGAGTACATTACAACATAGATGAGCCAAACATCACACAGTGTTTTTTTTTTTAATAGAAAACTACGGCCCACTCAGGGTTTGAGTTTGAAAAATTTAATGCATTTGTTGAGGCAAAACGGCCGGTAATGTTGAATGTATACAACCTAGGTTTCGGGTCCGATGGGGCCATGTGGGGGGGTGTTGTGTTCGCGGGATTGCCTGAATTTGATACACACGTACACAGACACACACACACACACACACACACACACACACACACACACACACACACACACGCCAGCAAGTCGGGATAAGATCGGAGGTTGGGATACAAAGAAAGAGGAGGGGGGGGTGGGGGTAGAGGTCGGGATGGGAGAGATCGGGATGAGGCACGTTGGAACGATGTCGGGATAGAGGAGGTCGGGGAAGAGATCGGGATGGGAGAACATCAGGATGGAAGGGAAGACAAATGTCGACTCTTTTCATCAAATACTGAATTTCTACATCCTCAATTCTCACAATCTCTGCTCTTTTCGCCGCGAGCGGAGCCGCGGCGGGTCCGCTTGTTTTTTTAATAGAAAACTACGGCCCACTCATGGTTTGAGTTTGAAAATGCATTTGTTGAGGCAAAACGGCCGGAAATGTTGAATGTATACAACCTAGGTTTCGGGTCCGATGGGGCCATGTGGGGGTGTGTTGTGTTCGCGGGATTGCCTGAATTTCATTTTCAAACTGTTTTCGTGACTGCACCAAAGTTACCCCTTTTGTTTTCTCCTGTCTTAATTACATCATGATTTTAATTGCGGAATGAGAACTAAGGCCGGGCATGTACCCTATGGAGATCAAGGCTCAATTTGGTTTCTTTTTTATTTCACCCTAAGGCTTCTGGGCACAGCAGTCAAAACCACCAGGATTGACCTTACAACATGGGGCCTGCGATGATGGTTCCTTCCTTGCGCAGCAGTCCGGTACATCCCAAAAGGCATGGCGCATGCACTGCATTGTTGTGTGCTCGCAGTTTGCCTGTAATCGCACTCGTGATTTGAGCTCGCAGACAGTGAAGGGGAAGGGGAAGGGGAAGGTGAATGAAGAGGTGTCAATTAAAAAGTGTCTTCCTTAATTTGTTTGAAAAAACAGCTCCAATCTACTCGCGAGGAGCAGCATGGGCTGGGAACCCTGCCCAGAGTCGACCACACACAAATTAAAAGAAAAGGGGAGGGAACTTGCACGTGCTTTACAAACTTGAAGTGATCAAGAAGAAAAAAATAATGCCATGTGGACACAATAATACTAATCACCTACGAGTAGATCAAGAAGCAGAGACTTCGAAGAGGAATAGGAAGCGGAAGAGGGGAAGTGGAAGTGGAAGAGAGGAAGGGGAAGGGGAAGAGGGGAGAGGGAAGTGGAAGAGGGG